GTAAGCGTTATTCGTCATGATTCGTCACTCAGCAAGTACCGTAAACAGAAGCAGTCACCCCCCTGGACATGCGCCCATTTTTAGTATTTCCAGGGGGGTGACTGCTTCTGTTTACGGTACTTGCTGAGTGACGAATCATGACGAATAACGCTTACGCAAAAAACAATGGAGACTTCTGTGTAGTATTCTGTGGCAGAGGCTTTAATTGGATATGAATTTTATGAAGGCGCGAAGCCTCTGCCATTGAACTATAAATAAACTGGAAGGCTAACTCCACTCCTATGATGAAGGCCTATGATTGGTTGAAGCCCGCGCGCGGGAAAATCAAATTTCAAAAGGACTAAGGAGAGTTTCGAGGAGTGAAAAAGATTCGGTCAAAAGTTTGTTTTCGAGCAGAAATGTGCAAGAAAAACACTTTTTCCATGGGAATACAACGATAATTAGATTTCAAACCAGGTTTTCCGATTAGTTCCAACTGTTTTACATCTCTCTGCAGCAAAAAGTAAGGAGTTTTGCTTTTGTATTATAAAAAAATTAAGAAAGTTTGGACGTGTCGAAGGAAAACTCGCTCTCCAACTCAAAAAAAATATACTATAAAACATTTTGACAGTCCCAAAAATTATGCTGTACTAACCCCAGGTATTGTTATTGATCCTAAGGTTTTAGTCCTGGTTTTATTCCTTCTAAAACGTAAATAAATTGGCGTTTTTCAAGTGATGTTAGTTTCGTCATTGCTCTTCTTGTAGGCCACTATGAGCACTTTGAATATGGCAATATATTTGTCAATTTCTAAATGCTTTTTTTCGACCTTAAGACGTTCAATCTTCTTGAAACTTCGCATACAGATGTATTTTGCATGGGTTTAAATAATTCCTGAGGTTTGACGTCTTAGTTTTATCTTAAACTTTCAACGCTTATGGTCGTGTTTTCTCGTATTTTTTTGCTAATTCGTGATTTGTTTGATTTGCGAATATTAAATTTGTTTATCATACTACCGATATAAATTTAATTTGGTGGTGTAACTAATATTTTGGGGCAAGATTTTTCTGATCAAAAAATGTGTATATTTTGAAAAAAAAATTAAAAAAGGACTGGGGCTACCTGCAAAGTAAACAAAAAGTTTTCTTCAATTTCCCCCCCTGACTTATCGTTCCAGATTATATAGAGTTCACTGGCCTCTGGCACGATGCCACACCCAATATGGCGGTAAACCGGGGGGGGGGGCGTATAATTATCAAACGCAACTTCAAGTCAAAATGACTGAGAAAATATCATGCATATGTAAAATGGCATATTGCATTTAAAATCTGTACACCCCCTGTTGAGGACACACTGTTCGAATATCTGCCCCCCTGGAATTCCATGTCATTTCTTCTCTTAGGCCCTGGAATTCCAAAAGTTTTTAATAAATTACCCTTGGAAATCTGCTATGTTTTACATTCCCCTGGATTTCCTTGCTATGTTTTGTCTTACCCCCTGGAATTCCAAGCATGTGTGAAATGTGCCATTTTTTCATCCCCCCCTGGAATTTCCAGCGTAAATAAGTGACTTTTGAACACCTCCCCCCTGGAATTTCTAGCAAAAATAAGCAAGTTTTGACTCGAGTTTTGACCCCACCCACTGGAATTTCCAGCGAAAAAACACGAGATTTGGCCCCCACCCCCTGGAATTTCCAGCGAAAATAAGAGAATTTTGACCCCACCCCCTGGATTTCCAGCACAAAAAATGGAGGTCAACCCCTGGATTTCCAAGACGAGATTTGGCCCCCACCCCCTGGAATTTCCAGCGAAAATAAGTGAATTTTGACCCCACCCCCTGGATTTCCAGCACAAAAAATGGAGGTCAACCCCTGGATTTCCAAGGTCCTCAACAGGGGGTGTACGGATATTAAATGCAATATGCCAATACTGCAACAAGCTGACAAAGAGATTATTTACTAGCTCTACGAAATAAGAAAGTGTTATGTTCAGTCTGTATTTTTTCTAGACAAGGTCTCCATCTACAGTATAAAACAATGCATGGAAACAACGTATTTAGCGAACAGGTTTTGGTTGCAAGCGAAGAAACTTTTATTTAAATTTATATTTGACATTTGTATTTTTAGAAATGTGTCCAAAACCGCATAACAGAAAAAAATGAGTATGTATAGCATACAGAACCATTATTAAATTTATTATCAAGACTGAAAATACAATTCAACTATTTCAACTTCAGCAATATTTATAAACAAACGCGACCTTCAGTCGGTTTCAACCTGATTTATTTGGAGGTTCGTATCTTTGGTTCAATATACGCTATGTAGATGAAAATACCACCGTTCGATTCAGTACAAAAATATCTCCTAGTTTCTATCGATAGTTTTAGTGAAATGTCAACACTATAGCGATTTATGACCTTTGAAAGTCAAGCGGGATTTTGTATATTAATATCAAATCACGCAATGTTTACACTTGATAAATATAAACTAGGCATACATTTCGGCGAACATAACTTCGGCTCCTTGGGACGCATCCTCTTTGTATTACACTTGTTCGAAAGCGAATTCAAAACACTACTTAGAGTGTTATTTTTGAGCTTGTATCTTGAAAACTTCATCTTTTATTATGGTATTTCCATTCCTGGTCTGATTGTGAACTAATTCCCGAACATCAGCGTGACAGGCGCGTGCGACTGTGCGAGTAAAAACCCGATATTTTGAAAAATTAAAAATAGTATCTATTGGCCGTATTCAAAAGAAATTTTCTACACGAAAGCGCTTGAATACAAGGAGTAATATTTCTACTGGCCGTATTCAAAAGAAATTTTCTACACGAAAGCGCTTGAATACAAGGAGTATTTTACTTCTTTGACTGGTGGCGAATTCCGAAGAGTTCAAGAAATATTCAAGTTTTTCTCGATACGAAATACAGAATGTTTGGCCAAGTGGTGAGTAAAATATACGATTGTTTGCTTCGAGGTTTGCTTTGTGTATTAAATGTTAAAAATATTACTTTTGACCATCCACAAACATGCAAGCACTAGTCAATGGGGTCAATCAATCATGCATTAAATAATGATTTAATTTTCAAAAAGACGTTTCTTGTTTAGCTTAAAATCACCTTTTGTTTCGATGTTTACACTTTATCCCACTTTGCGATGCAAATCGTGCAGAGGCTTCGCGCCTTCCTTCGCCTTTCCCTTTGCCGCCTTCGCTCCTTCGCCCAGCGGCTACGCTCGTGTTCCAAGATCCGCCATGTAAAGTGTAGTGAAATGTATCTCATCGTAATATTAAATAGTGATGGGCGATACCAGGATTTTTAATTCGATACCGATACTTTTAAGATCAGTATCGGCCGATACCGATACCTATTTCGATACCAAAATAAACATAAAATTTCAATTTTCGATACTGGAAGTGAGTACTTAAATTGCTAGTATCTCCTACTTTCGATACCTGCCGGTCCGCGGAAAAACATCTTTCATTACTGTCTGTAACCTATTAAAATAAAGCTATATACCAAAAGCTCGAAACGTAATAAATATTTTCTATACATGACTTGGCGCACCACATTTGGAATATTAAGAGTTATTTTAGTGGTTCATTTAGTCTTATTCAACCAAGAAGTGAAATTAAACAAGTCGTTTAAAAAAGGGTGCAAGTATCGAACGATACCACGTCAGTAATCGATACCGATACCGCTGTTTGTGGTATCGCTGGTATCGAATACCAAGTACTCGGTATCGCCCATCACTAATATTAAATCCTAAGAAAACTAAAGCCTCTGCGGACGAGAGAGGTTCGAAGCAATGTTTCTGAGCATATATAATATAAGCGCCCTGTTTGAAGCTATTCACTGCAAATACGAGCTCTTATGATTTATACAAGTGCAATAATTTAAATATATTACGTTATGATGTTTTATTCATATTACGTTTAATTAATGTTTTATTCATATTCATAACACAGCTCTTTATAGTTGGACCCCCTGTGCATTGAAAAAATAAATTTCGTCATATTGAGTGGGGGAGCAGGGGAATAAAAAGCGCGATATGATTTAACATGGAATTTATCATAAGAGGTATGCGAATTTTGTATAGGGGAAAGGCAGTCTCAACCAGTTGTGTCCAAGATTGCAGCTTTCTAGTAATCACTTAAAATAATGATTAGCCTGCGTAGTTAGGGTGGAGGGCGAGGCTCACTCCCTTTCTCTCGCCTTCGCCCTCCCCTCTAAAATAGCGCCTACCACGCAGGCTAAATAATGATCAGTTTCACAGTAGACCGATTTCAAAATATGCTATCACTATTTTACACTATATTGCTTTTTTGTATTAAGATTATTTATTATTTTTATTATTATACTAACATTTATTCTATTTATTACTAACATTATTCTATTGATTATTACTGTAACATTATTCTAATTATTGCTATTATCATTATTAAACACCATTCTATTTATTATTAACTTATTAACTTATTAACATTAGTACTTATTAACATTAGTCATTACTCTATTTTATTATTAACACTATATCCCATGCTGAAACCAATGTTTGTCTACTCCTCTTTCATAAGTGTCATGTTTTGTTTTATAAAATGTACCATATCGAGCTTCAGAGGATGGCATGACATCCAGGCCTTCCCAGTATGCTCATTTTGGGTCATTTTTATACTATTCATTTTCAAATCCTATAATCTATATTTTCATATTTATATATGGACCTCGTCAGGCTTGCTTTCACTTGGCAATATCCTGAGTATAATAATTGGACAAACTTTTCTTCCTCCCACAATGATATCAATGACAACAATGTTATCATTGTGAGGGGCGAGAAAACCATGCCAGAAGGCTTGTCTTCAATTGTACAGAATTTATATTACATTAAGCTGCTACGTCCACCTTTTATTGCCAAGTACATTCTCTTGGTCAGCAAGACACTATAGTTTTCTTGTCTTTCGACGGGGCTTCGGTGGCGCAGTCGTCAGAGCAAGCGTATTTCACCTCAGATGGTGGGTTCAATTCTCACTGCGGACTCATGTGAAGAGTCAGTCAACGCTCTGTCGAAAGTCGTGGGTTTTCTTCGGGTGCTCGGGTTTCCTCCCACAGGGAAAGTTGATAGGGTTAGGATAAACACAGTTAAGAAAGTAATATCACAAGTGTTGTAAAGATAAAATAGTCTGGGCTAAGTAAGTAATTAGGTAAGCGTAAGACTTGATGTAAAGCGCATTTGATCATATCATGACCATATCCACGTGTAAATCGAAATTTCTCTCATTTTGTCTTCCATTTCTCATTTTCTGCATAGTGCCGAATCCAGCGACGGTCGATTTGCTTTGCAGTACATTACTTTCTTCCGAAAGTATTCTGGTCAACCAAATCCAGTTCATCGTAGTTCCTGCATGGGTACTTTGATTCCGTCCTTCTTGCACTAAAGATGTGTTAATACCATCACATTTCAAAGGTACACCAGCAGACTTCGAGTAAACAGCAGAAAGATTAAAAATGCAGACTTCAAGTAAACAGCAAAAAGATTAAAGATACATGCAACTTTTTCTATACTGCACCATGTGTGAAAGCAAGATAGCAAACCACGTTCTATCCAAGGACAGAGCAGCAGATGTCAGGTAAAAAAGATTAAAACATGCATGCGAATGTATCTATACTGCATGCACAAAATATGTGTGATACAATGACGTCATGTTCAAATATTAAAATACACCATAACGAGCATCACGTGATGAAATGCATGGCTAGCATATATTTGGATTATTTTCATTGCAAACGCTCTAGCTTTTACTTTAGCTATATATGCTCCATCATATGGTTAGAGATTAATTTTCATTCTGACTTCACATCGTCTGATCAATATGGGGCTTTGATAATTTTGATAACATAATTTTCACAGATTCTTGTTTAAAAAGGTTTTCTATAAACGGACACAGTAACTTCGATATTATAGAGATAAATATCACAATATTCCTCCGCTGCACGTATCAGGAAAAGAAAATAAAGTTAGAAGGAAACGCTGGTACTACCAAAACACCACTGTACTAGATATTCTTAAAATCATTCGCGCAATATATTTCGCTGACAAACATTCAACAATATTCCCTTCCACCAGCAACAAAGACACCTTACAGAACTGACATCGCTGTTACAGGAGGTAGAAAATAAAGTTACAAGAACTAGATGTATTTTCACAACTTTTCTTTACTTTACTTGGTATTGTGATACTAATTGGTTTTCGCTGAGAAGAACTAAATAAAATACCTAACACCTATACGTACTACCAGAAATATAAATGTTAAGGGGACTGTCTACCCTAATTTTGGTAAAAATGGACGATTGTGAAACAGGAGGCAATTTTAAGAAAAAACATCTAATTATGCATCCAAATGAGAATGTATCTTGAATATTGGTACTTAGACATTACAAAAATAGTATTTAATTAACTTCAGATAGCATCATGGGGGGTCTACCCTTTCCGAGAAGCCGAGTAATTGGAATATTACAGTAAATCTTTAAAATGCTAAAACTTTGAGGCAATTCAAGGTACAGCCCTGAAACTTTGCACACTTGTGCAACACTCAGGTATGAACAAATTAATGATTCATTTTTTTGATTGGACAATTGGTGTTGCCGTGGTAACAGTTAAGACATCCTTAAATCTCTTTTTCAATTATTTTGCTCAGAATTGGCTGTATCAACAAAAGCTCTCATTAATTTGTTAAGTACATAGATGAGAGTAAACTGTGAAAATTTCAGCCAAATCTGTTAAAAACTCTCTGAGTTTTAGCATTTTAAAGGTAAAAATATGCGGAAATTGTGTTTTGCGGCAAATCCAAGGTAAAGTTGGACTAACATGTCTTCGCATTGTTTTCAGCTTTACTAACACCCTAGCAGACAAATGTTAACAGAACAGAACATAACAATCCATTCTTACTCCTCATAACGTTCCACCTACTCATTGTTTTTGTCTTTTTGGTCTTTTAGCTAGTTTTAGTCCCGGCAACGCCCTTCACTAAATGCATCGCTGCTATAGGATGGGCCGCCTTCTTCGTCACGTGTTTCCAGTTCTCTAACAAGCTTTGCTTGTCTTGGTGCAATTTTTTTCCTTTTTTCTACCAAGCTTGCTTTCCTTTTTGAATATTCTCTTCTTGTCCATACTGGCTCTTGCTTCTTCAGTAAACCTGCCTGACGGGATTTTGCCACCTTCATCATCTCGTGCCGCGCCTTCGAACCGCTGTCAAATTGGAGTACAGCAGACCCAGTACCAGCCATTTTGATTGCCCTTTGGGCCCTTATACTTGTGCTTTGGTGTTTTTGACCAGACTATTCCATTCAGGCTTTCATATTTCTGGTTTGGGGAATAACTTATCATGCCATACCTTGTATATCATCCGAATCCTTATCTGCCTTCTGTTCGTTACACGAAGTACAAATCTTTGACCGAAACCATAATCAAGAACTTGGCCTGTCTCCACAGGTATAACAAATCAATAGGAAGCTGTATGTCCCCTGTTTGACCAAGTACCATTATACTTTTATGTCCTTCTTGAAATGCTTGGTGAACATTTGACAAATTGAAGAAAAGATAGCCAGGGTCTTCACTAAAATATGGCTTTGATGCCCCTGGCAGTGTATCAATTTCTTCGTCACCGTCCATAGTGGCATTTCAGCATTTGTACCCTCGCATATGTCTACAGATGATATAATTTTCTTCTCGCTTGCTGTAAGTGTCCGGTTTTCTTCTGTCTCGCAGTTGAATAGTAACATGTGGTTCTGAAACTTCATGTCCTGATGTCCAGAAATGGCCGGCTGGTTTATAACGGCTCAACGCGATATTCATCCGCTAATTTTGCCTTTTACCATGAAGGAATGCCACAAAATTTGTCTTTAGCCTTTCGTCTAGGCATTATTTATATAAACTTGGCAAAATAGGCTGTGTTGTTAACGCAAATTCGGGTGAAATACTTTCAAAACGTCAACAATACTGCAT